TGTCTGTCTCTGGGAGAAGCAATGTCTCAACTCCTCTAGAGTTTGAAGCTTTTTAACAAATAGTTAAAGGTCAACCAACGATCAATCTGCAATATCTAAGCTGTAGAACTGTAAAAATATCTTGCGTGAACCTTATTCCCTACAGTGCATTGATTCTTTTAACGTGTACTGTATTGTCTTTGGAACAAATAAGGTGGTGGTTTTGAAAAAGAAACAAACACTTTAACTCTTTACAGTGGCCAGTATATATAACATCAACATGTTAAACCATCATTCCCTTCACTATAATTATCATTATTAAAGTACTGGGTGTAAACTTTTTAGTAAACAGGATGTGTCATCACAAGACTAGTGATGTGAGAAGCCAGAGTAATTACAACAACTATGGCTAAATCTATTCATTATCTCCACCCCACAACAGTCTCCTCCTATTTGTTTATTAGTTCATTTGCCCATCACAGCTTTCACTTATAGGAATAAAATGTAAACGCACAGAAACATGAAATATAATATAAACAGAATACAATTCTGGCCAGTAAACGAGTACTAAATTGACCCACTTTCAATGATGTCATACCAACAATGCTGTGAAAAATATGTTTTACTTGCTTTTACTGGTATGCACTTAGTTTTGATTTTATGTGCTCTGAAATTAATGCCACACAGCACAATGGGGGTAAACCGAATTTAGTGTATGGAGCTCACAGAATTGAAAACTTACATTTTACAGTTTTTTAAGGACTATGTGGGTGACTTTGTTAGAAAGTGGTTTGAAAACCCAGGCAAATAGAAAGGAAAACATCTGCATTGCTGGACATCACAATAGACATACATACATACATATTTTCATGTTGAGTATTATATTTTGTGTTTTTACACAATATCATTCATGTCTGGACTTCATTTGCTTTATTATCTTTGAGTATTTCTACTGTTTACACACTTACTGTTACAATCTGTTTTTGGTCAAGAAGTGAACATAAATCAGAAAAAAAATCATCTCCACTCCACAAAGCCAGTATGGGTTTTTTTTGTCTTTTTTAATGTAATAATGTTCAGAACAAGGTATGAATTTTAGTTGAGAGCACTGTACAGGTGCTTCAAGAAATGCCTTTTTCTGTGTATGTTTTAATTTTGGAATATATATTATAAACTGCTTGATCTTTTTTTTTTAAATGATCGCATGATTGTTTTATCCTGTGTTGGGTTTTTCTTGAATATCATTTCTATGATAAAACACTGGCACTGATTTACCAGATGTATAACATTTATTTCAGTGCCTATGTGAAAATATATTTTTAAACATTTTGAATGAATAAAGAATGCTGGAGAATAAGATGTTTCTGAGTCATCGTTGGATAGTTAAGAATTACTCATATAGTTTGTAGCTGATGTTTTTTGAACAGCTGGAAACCGATGACATCTGATAATTGTGTTCAGAGCAGATTGAGACAGAAGGAAGGTCTGACTTCTGGAGGGAAAATTGATTACAATGGTTTTACTTAATCCATTATAATCACATTGTCATTGGTGAGGAAGCATCATATGCTTGTTTCTGTTGTTCACATTACTGAACAATAGAGGGGAGCATTGCTACAAAAGTTGCCTGTTCAGTGAAAATGTGGATGAACACTCTTTTATTTTTTCCATATCCCACTAAGCACTCGTGTGTCTCCACAAAATAGAGGTGAATTTTGTCAAGTATGTCAGAGAGGAGGGTTTTCTTTTCACCCAGTCTCAAGTGATTCACTTCAGTTAATAATTTGACATGGTTGTTAAACAATGGGACTTGGTCAAATCACATGCTCACAGCATTGGTCTCAGTTGCAGAAATACAATGTAAACCCTCCTCTGTCTACTTCAACTTTATATATTGTACACAAATACCACCTCAGTTGCTTCAAATTTATTTAAAAAACAAGGGAAAAGATGTTTTTCTTCGTCAAGTTTTCTTTAATTCCTTCTGCGAAGGCAACACTGTAATTCAGAATGAAACTGCTGATGACTGTTACTTTGTGAATATGATAATTATGTTGATAATGATAATGATATACAATCATTTTAAACATTAACAGCTTACTCTGAGTATGTTAAGAGTCAATAAAATGTCCCTGAATGTGTAACTATGCTATGGATAATAACATGAACATGACTTCGACCATGACAAGACATACTGTCAGTGTTATAAGTATTATAATTATGCTAGTAAATAATAGCCACGAATATCTTATCTCATAGACTAATGGATAGTTGTGTGGAGGCTGACTCAGCAGCACAGTGTTGAAAAGTTCCTGAAAACTTGTCTACACTACTCGTTATTTTGGGGAAGATGTAAATGTAGATTAATGGTGTAGGCAATATTTTTTAGGTCTGCAGGTAATTTTTAGTTTTTATTTATTATTTGGAAACTAATACATTGCAGGAAAAGAAAACCAAAACAATGAGCTGAAAGATGCTAAAACCCTCCATAAAGCTGAGGGCAACTGCACAATAGGTTGATCATTTTGTGTTGGTTCCTCACTAAGCAGGACCTCTTTCACATTACATGATCCATTTCTAATTTAAAAATATTGATTAGTGCAGCTTTAATATTTCTTCCTTTGGCAATTAGTAACATTTGTCATAGATATTCCCTTGATATGATAAACATCTGTTACTAATGGCAATAATTCAGTCACAGACACAAGCTCTTCACTAAAAACTTGTCAGTTTAATTTAAGTATGGAATATTAAGGCAGTGTTTGTATATGACTGTTGAATGTCAACACTTTGTCAAAAATGATAAGTCTAACTTCCCCTAAAACGTATGATGTAATCCCTATCATAATTTGAGTACACGGAAAAAAGTTTCATGGCAAATGAAGTGTATGAAAATACAAAATGATCATTTTCTAAATTCACAAACAAGAATGTCTAGGTCTTATTACAATGCCAGTTCATCAACACCTGGCTTTATGACATGAACATGTACAAACATATCCTTTTTACAGTGGGGGTACTTTCAAGAAATTATTGTTTTAATTAAAATTTCACACCAAGAGGATAAAAGACTGATTTAACGGAGGCAAAATCTGCTCTTATTTTGCAAGTCATAAAACATTTGATTTAACAAACCAGTGGCAGTGAAGCACTTTGACAAAACATGTGGCAACACCTGCTGTCATCAGTTTACTCAGAAAAAATATTAATTTCAGAAGCACCATGATAACTACCCTTATTCCAGCACCTGAGAAAAGATTTCAGACGTGTCTAAATACTTTTTTTACGAGAACAGATCATATAAATGTTCTTGCAGGGTGACCAAAGAACAGGGCAAGAGTACAATTATGTTGTTATGAGACCTGGTTCAAGGCAAGGATCTCTGTGTGAGACTGAGAGTCTGAAAAAACACTCAGTCCTCGTTAGTCACGTAAAGATTCTTTGAACCACTCCCCTCTGGCAGGAGGCTGCGGTCCATCAGGACATTTTTAACAAGGCCCGGATCCCCCACTGTCACTGACTCTTATAACCGACCCTTATATATTGCATTACATTAATGCACCCTGTATTTTGTACTCCTTATCTTTTCTTTTCTTTCTTATTATTTATATTTATTTATTTATATTTTTAAATACTTTATTCTTGTGTGATTTTTGGTGATTGTATATATTTTGTGTGATTGTATATTTTAAGCACCATTCACCAAGATAAATTCCTCGTATGTGTAAAAACCTACCGGGCAATGAATCTCATTCTGATTCTGATTCTGATTCTGATTGATAAATTGATTTAGAGGTTTGTAGTAATTGTTGGCACCTCAGGAAATACCGCTGATAGTGGCTGAATTTCCATGTCTGAACTCTGGACTTCTAAAATAGAGCCATTATGGATTTTGGCTAAAGGCTTTAAGTGATATAAAAAGTTAATAACTTTGCACACACAAGTGTGTCATTTGAATAACCCCAACAAATCCCATTTGTGCCTACTGTAACATTAAACTCTAAACAAGCAAGCTGGTACAGATTAAAATGATCTTACAGTGTTTTTGTGTTCACGTTTATTAGACCTCATTCTTCATATTCTTTATATCTTTGATGCTATGGATCATGGGTAGTCCCTGAAAAGTCTTCAGACACACACCTTGGTCTGTGAGCCTCAGCATTCAGATTCAGTGATTAAAAATGAGCTACCGATTTTCTCCAAACTACAAAACCATGTGTGTGTTCCATTTTTCCTACCACCTTTGTCTAGCCAGAAAGTTATTTGGGACCAATGAGGAAAAAACGGGAGACACGTTGACAGAAGGCAACAGAATTGACCACAAATGGCACAGTCCATTACAGATACCATAGCCCAACTGGTTTATAGTACAACTTAAAAAGTCAAATCTCCTTTTCTTTAGTTGTATCTAAATTTAAAACATAAATATGAAAGTGCAACAAAAAAGGTGCAACAAATGTGGCAACTGAAATATGGACTATATGGGTGTTTATAGGCTTCTTTTGTCAAAGTTACTACTTAGCTTCTTGAAGTAACCTCTTTTCAGAAGTGAAATTGCATTTAAAATTTTGGAAAACTACTTTTAAGAATGCTTGTTGGGCAGATCAGGTTTTATGTTGTGTGGTTATTTAAAGCATCCAAAAAATGACTTGATAGGATACTCTTCCTAGTTGGAACCCCTATGTTTTCTTGGACAAATGCAACCTCAAAGCTATCTAATGCAGTACTATTATAGAGGGCAAGATAGCATACGTATGTACATTTACTTTTAGGTTTACCAAGGAAAGGAGAAGGAGAAATGGAGCACACCACAATGTTTTCTTCATTCCCTTCTTCTTCTAGCTGCTCTACACCATAGAGTTTTCTGACCTGCTTTCTGCTGCGGCAAATGTACTGTTTGCATGAAGAACTGCAG